AGTGTCACACAACAACATACGGAGTAGCCACAATTTCATGGGCCACGTTATAGACAGAACAGTATATCATACACGGTGACACAGGTCACTGCTGCAATGATAAATGTAGCACATGTGGCGGGGGGGGGTGAGCTGCAGATTTGTGTTGAGCTTGTACACTAACGATAAGCCACTCGGCCATTAAATTACATGCACATTTATTGTGATCCTATATTTCTTGAATACCACCCCCCCCCCACTCACACACAAAAACACAAAGACATTTACACACACACACTAACAAAAATACACATTGAGACACATACTATAAAACAAGAAGACATCAATCTACATCACTTGCATACACAAGCAGACCCCCCCCCCCCCCCCCATGTGCTAACAACGTGTATTAAAAGAAAATCATAAGGACATCTAACAAGCCTATGGATATCCACCAGCTTCACATAAGACAAACAATCGTCTCAAACAATAGGTTACTGATCCACAAACTCTGCTCGCATGGACCTACATAACAATTGCAGGGATTAAAATTAAAACAATCTTTAAATCCTGTCATTACTACTTTGGCAGCTTGCCCAAAAGCCGGGACCTGTGTGAAGTAAAGAATACAAATATCGCCTTTGTTGTGCCCGTAGATTATGTACGCTTGGTGCTCAGGTTTAGTTACTACAGCGATTGGGTAGAGGGGAGTCAGCAGGTATTGGACAAGATCCGATGAGAGCCTCAACAGTTTCTGTCAGGCAGGAAGGGAAACCCAGCCAGAAGTGAACCCGTTTATAGACATGGAGGTACCACGTGAGGTCAAACAGAACCCGTTTATAGACATGGAGGTACCACGTGAGGTTAAACATACAGACATACAGCATACATAAGCTTTAATCTAATCCGGACATATAGAGTGGTCGAGAATTACTGGCATCGTTGGGGTGGGCAGTAAACTGATGGGGTCGGTAGTAACTGATGGGGTCGGCAGTAAACTGATGGGGTCGGCAGTAACTGATGGGGTCGGTAGTAAACTGATGGGGTCGGTAGTAACTGATGGGGTCGGCAGTAACTGATGGGGTCGGTAGTAAACTGATGGGGTCGGCAGTAAACTGATGGGGTTGGCAGTAAACTGATGGGGTCGGCAGTAAACTGATGGGGTCGGCAGTAAACTGATGGGGTCGGTAGTAAACTGATGGGGTCGGCAGTAAACTGATAGGGTCGGCAGTAAACTGATGGGGTCGGCAGTAAACTGATGGGGTCGATAGTAAACTGATGGGGTCGGTAGTAAACTGATGGGGTCGGCAGTAAACTGATGGGGTCGGCAGTAAACTGATGGGGTCGATAGTAAACTGATGGGGTCGGCAGTAAACTGATGGGGTCGGCAGTAAACTGTTGGGGTCGGCAGTAAACTGATATTGTATAGGGTCGGCAGTAAACTGATGGGGTCGGCAGTTATCTGATATTGTATAGGGTCGGCAGTAAACTGATGGGGTCGACAGTAAACTGATGGGGTCGGCAGTTATCTGATATTGTATAGGGTCGGCAGTAAACTGATGGGGTCGACAGTAAACTGATGGGGTCGGCAGTAAACTGATGGGGTCGGTAGTAAACTGATGGGGTCGGCAGTAAACTGATAGGGTCGGCAGTAAACTGATGGGGTCGGCAGTAAACTGATGGGGTCGGTAGTAAACTGATGGGGTCGGCAGTAAACTGATGGGGTCGGCAGTAAACTGATGGGGTCGATAGTATACTGATGGGGTCGGCAGTAAACTGATGGGGTCGGCAGTAAACTGATGGGGTCGGCAGTAAACTGTTGGGGTCGGCAGTAAACTGATATTGTATAGGGTCGGCAGTAAACTGATGGGGTCGGCAGTAAACTGATGGGGTCGGTAGTAAACTGATGGGGTCGGCAGTAAACTGATGGGGTCGGTAGTAAACTGATGGGGTCGGTAGTAAACTGATGGGGTCGGCAGTAAACTGATGGGGTCGGCAGTAAACTGATGGGGTCGATAGTAAACTGATGGGGTCGGCAGTAAACTGATGGGGTCGGCAGTAAACTGATGGGGTCGGCAGTAAACTGTTGGGGTCGGCAGTAAACTGATATTGTATAGGGTCGGCAGTAAACTGATGGGGTCGGCAGTTATCTGATATTGTATAGGGTCGGCAGTAAACTGATGGGGTCGACAGTAAACTGATGGGGTCGGCAGTTATCTGATATTGTATAGGGTCGGCAGTAAACTGATGGGGTCGACAGTAAACTGATGGGGTCGACAGTAAACTGATGGGGTCGGCAGTAAACTGATGGGGTCGGCAGTAAACTGATAGGGTCGGCAGTAAAATGATGGGGTCGACAGTAAACTGATGGGGTCGGCAGTAAACTGATGGGGTCGACAGTAAACTGATGGGGTCGGCAGTAAACTGATGGGGTCGGCAGTAAACTGATGGGGTCGGCAGTAAACTGATGGGGTCGGCAGTAAACTGATGGGGTCGGCAGTAAACTGATGGGGTCGGCAGTAAACTGATGGGGTCGGCAGTAAACTGATGGGGTCGGCAGTAAACTGATGGGGTCGGCAGTAAACTGATGGGGTCGGCAGTAAACTGATGGGGTCGGCAGTAAACTGATGGGGTCGGCAGTAAACTGATGGGGTCGGCAGTAAACTGATGGGGTCGGCAGTAAACTGATGGGGTCGGCAGTAAACTGATGGGGTCGGTAGTAAACTGATGGGATCGACAGTAAACTGATGGGGTCGGCAGTAAACTGATGGGGTCGGCAGTAAACTGATGGGGTCGGTAGTAAACTGATATTGTATGGGGTCGGCAGTAAACTGATGGGGTCGGTAGTAAACTGATGGGGTCGGTAGTAAACTGATGGGGTCGGCAGTAAACTGATGGGGTCGGTAGTAAACTGATGGGGTCGGCAGTAAACTGATGGGGTCGGCAGTAAACCGATGGGGTCGGTAGTAAACTGATGGGGTCGGCAGTAAACTGATGGGGTCGGCAGTAAACTGATGGGGTCGGCAGTAAACTGATGGGGTCGGCAGTAAACTGATGGGGTCGGCAGTAAACTGATGGGGTCGGCAGTAAACCGATGGGGTCGGTAGTAAACTGATGGGGTCGGCAGTAAACTGATGGGGTCGGTAGTAAACTGATGGGGTCGGCAGTAAACTGATGGGGTCGGCAGTAAACTGATATTGTATGGGCTCGGTATAAAACCGATCTTTTTCTACGAACCTAGTGAATTCCGAAAATGTTGGATACTGTGAAATGGACAGACCGTGAAATGGAGATAAAGGCTTATCAAACTTTTTATCCCCCAAATACACACTGCTATTTTCAAGTATAGGGGTCTAACAAGTTCTATGTGTTTAAGATAATTTTACATTACGGCACTATAAAGTGAACAAAACTTATACAGACAACTCAATTTGCTAGACAGAGAATTAGATTTATACAAGGGAAAAAAAAGTTTATTATAATTATTGTTGAATACTTTTGGCGAAAGCAACGAGTAGTGATCATATGATAATCACTGTAATTAATAGGGTGACAATTAATTAATGATTGAGTAGAAAATTAACACGTACACGCAGAGAGGTATTTTATACTGCACGACACTTGGTTTATATGTTGATATATCAGTCGTGTATGTTGATATATCAGACAGACATTAGGTCGTGTATGTTGACATAATGAACGCCATCATGTTTAGAAACGAATCTATCAACTAGGCATGTGATGATTTATGAATATATTCAGCGAAAGATATTTTTAGTAACACGAATACAATGAGACTTCTGACAACACACCTAATACAACAAAAGCCACTGTTCATACAACAAAAGCCACTGTTCATACAATGACAACAACGAATCTGACTGTATGACAACCACTCAACCTACCCCGTTTAAACTCAATTTTTCTTGGTTTAAAAAAAAATTCAACACCAAATATTATTATTATCACGGGCCTATCGTCCCGCCCACGACACATTCAACTCCCCCCACTGGCGTGTCACGCCATTACTTTATTGACATTTTCCCACCCCCCGTTTCACCAGTAACCTTAGTCGTCCTTTCCTTCTAATATCCTACGATGTGTCACTGCTAACCCTATACTGTACTGGCTGTCAATGTTTTCCTGTCAGCAAGTAATTTTAATTTAACTGATTGATCACTACTGGCCAACTACATGGATTTACATATATATATATATATATATATATATATATATATATATATATATATATATATATATACAAAAAAAAACACCGCCCCTCCCTATCTCCCCATATGTGTATCACCAATCCCAAGATAAGGGACACAACTACTCCCAATGTTGAGGGCGGCATTATTATGTTTTACGGTGTCACGGAAGTAAAGGGGAGATAACCGTTTTAATGGAGTTCACCGGGTCACGTATTGACAGCACTGTGTATTATAAATACAATTAGGAGAGCATACTTTTAATTAGGATTCTAAACTTACACTGTAAGTGGGTTCGTTGTATTGTCTGTTGTATGTGTTGTGTATTTAATATGTGAAACTGACAGTATAGGTCAAGTCAGAGGTCATAGCAGTTCACTGGGTTAACTGTTCACCTTGTTGTATCACAGTGTGGAAATATACTTTGTTGTTTTCTTAAGGTTTAGCTTGACTCAACGGTATCGTATCAAAATTAATTTTTTATTTATATTTTTTTGTTTGTTCCTGTATGATTTTTAATTTCGCCCGTATTTTTTTAAGGTCTGGGAAGGATGTTGTCAGAGTCGGAATGAGGGATCGGTTCTGGATTAAGGCAAGTGCTATGGTAACGATAGCGATACCAGGGAAAATAGGATCGAATACGCCCAGAAGGGGTTTAAAAAAAATACCACCCATTCATCCTTATCAGAGATCCCCCCTCCCACCTTAAAAAACCTAGACATTTTTCCAATGACGTAATGTCAACATTACCCAGTGGCACAAGTGAATGCTGACATCTCGCCACTAGCCACCACAAGACTGAACCAACGTTCACCTAGGTAGCCACGCCACCGCGCGCTGTGTACTACGTCACTGCGTGCTACGTCACAGGACGTGCCTTAGATGAACATTGTTCGGGGGTTTTAAAAGCGACAGGTCGCGGCTCCAAGTGACAGTCAAACAAGCCCCAAGTTCGCTGCGTCAGGCCTTCAGGTGGACACAGGTAGCCAACAGGATTACACCAAGAAATGGTCAGCTCGACCGTGTTGCCGATGGCGGTGGTGGTGGTGATGATGTGTGCAGGTGAGGTGTTTCGTTTAATTTTAATTCAATGGTAAGGTGAAATATAATTTAATACAAGACAGCGGTGGGAAGTGGTTCTACTAAAGGCGGAGTTGATACTACTACTGATAACATATATAACGTATGGGCCCCTGATAAGATAGGTGGTACAACTGCTGGTTGGTTCTGTTTAAGCCTTGTTGAAAGCGTTGTAGAGACCTTAACTTAACCAATACAAAAAGTTTTTAGGGTGGGAGAAATTATGACAGGAAAATTAAGTACAAGTTGAGTGCACATCTTTGTATGACCACCCAAGTTTAGTGGGCAGTTTGTGGGAGCCCACGTGAGTCATAACACCCATAGATTTTCATTGGAAAAAGTTAACGTAAACTCTCTAGTATACAAACATTAAAGTACGATATAATTATTAGAATATTTTTCAATAAGACGAAAGAGTCGAATATCTGACCCGAGGCTTCCTGTGTTAACCCTAACATCGACTCACTAAACTGCTAGACAAGTTGTCATATTCAACGTACATAGTCTAGTTAAAGGTTGGCTAGAAACTTCTGGAAAGTTGAATCCCGCCTATGTTGTCACGAACACACCTAAAATATCTTGACAGATCGAAGGTCCCAGCGTGGGGAGACATTTTATTTACGTCAGTTGTCGGCTATTTAAAACTGTACTTTCCTATCAGCGGACAATGGTGTAATATTGTTGTTTGTATGGGTGTGACTGGAGTTATTAACTAGTGGGTAACTTCCCTTTTAGACCTGTCCATAGGAAACAAAGAGAGGTTTTCTTTAGATGAGCGTATAAAGTGGCTGTCTGATCATCATATTGTCCAGCCGTCTCTACTTTACGTGACCAGATCTGGATATCTATCAGATACTCGTCAGGTACCCATCAGATACTAGTCAGATACTTCTCAAGAGAACCGAACAATAATTGTGCGCTCTAACACTCGACCACGCCGGTCCATAACTTCCAACAACCCAAGTATTTGCAGATATTTGGATGCAAACAAGAAACACAACAGAATGCATTAGTCAGCAAGCTAACATAACGTGGACACTACCCCCCCCCCCCACTACAGTTGTCCATCACGAACTCCGTGGCAACCCGCAAGAGATGCTAAATCCATTGTTCCCCAACCCCCGCTTTCCCTTTCCAAAGTTCAATGTCTTCTCACATCTGAATGTAATCACCGTACATCAAGTCAAACGATAATGTCCATCTGTCCATCTGCAATGACCGTAAAGACAATCTAAAGTCACCATGAAGACATTAACCGGATTAACCTGTGTAGTGGGGCTGAACTAATCCGCGTGTTAATCTTATCTGTAATCCTATAAGGGATTTGTAATAGGTGTGTGCAGGTATGTGTCGATCTTACAGGAGTCATATCAAGGGGACTTTTCTTGACACGCTATTAACACCACGTTAATTACCTCGGTGAGAAACTAATTAGTTGACCCAGCCAACCATGGTGCTGACCCACACGTTAATCACCTGGATGAGAAACTAATTAGTTGACCCAGCCAACCATGGTGCTGACCCACACGTTAATCACCTGTGTGAGAAACTAATTAGTTGACCCGGCCAACCATGGTGCTGACCCATTCGTTAATCACCTGGATGAGAAACTAATTAGTTGACCCGGCCAACCATGGTGCTGACCCATTCGTTAATCACCTGGATGAGAAACTAATTAGTTGACCCAGCCAACCATGGTGCTGACCCACACGTTAATCACCTGGGTGAGAAACTAATTAGTTGACCCAGCCAACCATGGTGCTGACCCACTCGTTAATCACCTGTGTGAGAAACTAATTAGTTGACCCAGCCAACCATGGTGCTGACCCACTCGTTAATCACCTGTGTGAGAAACTAATTAGTTGACCCAGCCAACCATGGTGCTGACCCACTCGTTAATCACCTGGGTGAGAAACTAATTAGTTGACCCAGCCAACCATGGTGCTGACCCACTCGTTAATCACCTGGGTGAGAAACTAATTAGTTGACCCAGCCAACCATGGTGCTGACCCACTCGTTAATCACCTGGGTGAGAAACTAATTAGTTGACCCAGCCAACCATGGTGCTGACCCACTCGTTAATCACCTGTGTGAGAAACTAATTAGTTGACCCAGCCAACCATGGTGCTGACCCACACGTTAATCACCTGTGTGAGAAACTAATTAGTTGACCCAGCCAACCATGGTGCTGACCCACTCGTTAATCACCTGGGTGAGAAACTAATTAGTTGACCCAGCCAACCATGGTGCTGACCCACTCGTTAATCACCTGGGTGAGAAACTAATTAGTTGACCCAGCCAACCATGGTGCTGACCCACTCGTTAATCACCTGTGTGAGAAACTAATTAGTTGACCCAGCCAACCATGGTGCTGACCCACTCGTTAATCACCTGGGTGAGAAACTAATTAGTTGACCCAGCCAACCATGGTGCTGACCCATTCGTTAATCACCTGGATGAGAAACTAATTAGTTGACCCAGCCAACCATGGTGCTGACCCACTCGTTAATCACCTGGGTGAGAAACTAATTAGTTGACCCAGCCAACCATGGTGCTGACCCACTCGTTAATCACCTGGGTGAGAAACTAATTAGTTGACCCAGCCAACCATGGTGCTGACCCACTCGTTAATCACCTGTGTGAGAAACTAATTAGTTGACCCAGCCAACCATGGTGCTGACCCACACGTTAATCACCTGTGTGAGAAACTAATTAGTTGACCCAGCCAACCATGGTGCTGACCCACTCGTTAATCACCTGGGTGAGAAACTAATTAGTTGACCCAGCCAACCATGGTGCTGACCCATTCGTTAATTAAACCATGGGACGTGGTCGGGGAAAGTTTTCCCAACGGTCACTCCCACTCAGACAAAAGACAACAATCCCCCCCACCCACCCTCCCCTCTATTTCTATTGTAGCCTAGTCTAGGTTCACCACGTCAAAAGTTTGAATGAAATTAAAATTCTGCACCTAAAGCTATGGCCTCTAAAGGTGTTGTGTGTGATACATTGTCTGTACCGAACAAACCTGGCCACTTAATAAACATTAACTACCTCGTCGTTCCCAAGTGGATATGAAACAGACGTAAATAAATGACCTTGAGACGTGTCGGACATTGTACGTACCTAAACTACCACCCGTAATGTCTGCCGTCTGCATGTTTCTATACCTCTGTATGGCCTACGTCACACCGTATTGCTGAAGTCGTGACTTCAAAGTTCACTCAACTCCCTACACCTAGCGCGTTATTTTCAAACTTTCAGCCCATGAATGGAAGCAATTACAGTTTTTGTCGAGTGCTTTCATAAGACTTGTATAGTACAGATTTGTGTGGGAGACATGTATGGCTGTAAGAAAGTACATTGATGTGTACTGTAGCTGGGGGCTGTTTATGACTGCTGGAACCTGCCTTAGTGTACACAAGCTGTGCTGTTTGTTTATATTGTTTACATAACCCAAGTAGTTTTATTTTTCTCACAGATCTCCTCCACCCCACACCCCACTCTCGCCAAACATCCTCTACTCTACTGATCCGAAAGTTGAATGTGTCACAATAAATGTCCTGTTTTATGTCGTAACCCTTTGAATAACTTGTTTGAATATGTCGTCGTACCCCATTGAATGATGCGTTTTATAATATCGAACCCCACTGAATGACTTGTAATAAACCAACTGAATGACTTGTTTGCATTTGTCCCCCAACTGAATGACTAGTTTGCAATTGTCCCCCAACTGAATGACTTGTTTGCAATTGTCCCCCAACTGAATGACTTGTTTGCAATTGTCCCCCAACTGAATGACTTGTTTGCAATTGTCCCCCAACTGAATGACTTGTTTGCAACTGTCTCCCAACTGAATGACTTGTTTGCAATTGTCCCCCAACTGAATGACTTGTTTGTAATTGTCCCCCAACTGAATGACTTGTTTGCATTTTTCCCCCAACTGAATGACTTGTTTGCAACTGTCTCCCAACTGAATGACTTGTTTGCAATTGTCCCCCAACTGAATGACTTGTTTGCAATTGTCCCCCAACTGAATGACTTGTTTGTAATTGTCCCCCAACTGAATGACTTGTTTGTAATTGTCCCCCAACTGAATGACTTGTTTGCATTTTTCCCCCAACTGAATGACTTGTTTGCAATTGTCCCCCAACTGAATGACTTGTTTGCAATTGTCCCCAGGTGCCCTGCTGGTAGACGCGGCCAAGTGGAGCTATGCTGGAGATTACGGTGAGCCGAGATTTTTATAGCACACACAATAAACATTCAGAACACGGTACACACTGCACTCAACAATATACAATACATAAACAAGACACTGATTGTAATTTTTTTTTAAACACGAAGGCTAGTGATTTTATCAGACTTTTTGAAGTGTCTTGTACAAAACTCCGTCTAGAACCAGAGGTCTATATTTTGTCAAGCTAGGTCTATATTGTGTCAAGCTAGGTCTATATTGTTTCAAGCTAGGTCTATATTGTTTCAAGCTAGGTCTATATTGTTTCAAGCTAGGTCTATATTGTTTCAAGCTAGGTCTATATTGTTTCAAGCTAGGTCTATATTGTTTCAAGCTAGGTCTATATTGTTTCAAGCTAGGTCTATATTGTTTCAAGCTAGGTCTATATTGTTTCAAGCTAGGTCTATATTGTTTCAAGCTAGGTCTATATTGTTTCAAGCTAGGTCTATATTGTGTCAAGCTAGGTCTATATTGTGTCAAGCTAGGTCTATATTGTTTCAAGCTAGGTCTATATTGTTTCACTCATAAGACAGAACATTCTGGTTTAGGTGACATAATGACAAGGAACGTCCGTACAATTACACTGGCACCCTCTCACCTGGCTGCCCATACAGACCTCGCTAAACCTGGTCACAACAGGAAACACGAGCGCTAATTACACCGGAAATGGCGCAACCGGACGCAGGTTGTCGTATTAAATTTTTTTAAAAAGTTATGTAGGCTGTCATCACATGACCGTCACACAATAAATTTTCACAAGATTGAGGTAGATGAGACACTATTTTGGGACCCCCTGTCAAGGACGAGCGAGGTGTAGAGATTAAGGCCATCTTGGGACAGAAACAAACCGTTGTCATGGCGGCATTAAAGGGAAACAACTTAGATTGATGTATAACACAGTTACCTCCTTCCGTATAATAAAATTTCGCCACAGGAAACGAACGTACATTTTTTATTAATCCCCGAAGCCGTGGGATAGATATGGAAAACGTTAGGCCCTTCTAGGCTTCCGCTGGGTGAAGACAGTCAGGCGACAAATATTTTAAGGATTGTTTAACCAATATAAAATTCAAAAACTTACTACCAACACAATGTTTGCCGAAAGTACATGCTGGCCTACATTTCTAACCGTGCTATGATTTAAACAAGTGGAACCTATTGTTGAAGAATTTTTTTGTACACCAGAGCAGAATAAATGTCTGCTGCAGACACACCAGCAGGACAAAAGCTTATCCCCCCCCCCCGTCACTTTTGTAAGTTAGTTTAAATGTAGGTCAACGACCTTCCGTGCCTCTTTAAATTAAAGTGTACTAAATACATTTTCTGTGTTAGTAGTTCCGACTACCCCGGCGAGAATGTAACATGAGCTATCGCCCTTGAACCAGGGACTCCGAATTCACAGCATTGTCATTTTTACATAAGTTATGCAAAACAGTGTGAATGGCAGCCATTTATAGATCTGAAGTATTCTCCAGCCCATAAAACTAAACAATACATGTTATTATATACAATGTCACTTGTCGTAACCACCCCCTGTCCTTGTTACAGGACCCATGAACTGGCATAAACACTATCAGAACGCCTGCGCAGGCAGATACCAGTCCCCCATAGACCTCAAGGCCGAACAAACCAGCTACAACCCAGATCTCAAGGATTTCGCCATATGGTACGACCCACCCAAAGAGGACACAGTATTTCTCATTCACAACAACGGCCACACAGGTACGCTTGATAAGCACTTTCAGTTCAGGGGAGACAATGCATTCTTTCGATTGTATTACTTTCAACACAGTTATCCTTCTTTTAAAAAAAGCTAATTTTTTTCTGGTGTATTTTATTTAGCACAAGTGGACGTGAGGGGTGAAATGTACGTGACCAATGGCGGACTGCCCAACGTCTACAAGACAGAACAGTTCCACTTCCACTGGGGCCACAAGGCTCATCACGGCTCTGAACACCTGTTGGAGGGAAAGGCCAGTCCTATTGAGGTGAGTCACCTGTCCAGTCATGTCATTTCACCTGTGCTGTCATCATGTCATCAGTGCTCAGTCATAGCATGCGCCACACCCTCCCCAAAAAAAAACTGAAAAATTATTCTGATATTAACTTGTTTTTTTTTTATATTATACTTGACTAAAGCCATCAATTAAAATTCCATATTGAGTGAACTAGTCAGATCTTTTGTTGTATCTCTGCAGCTCCACATAGTCAACTACAACAAAGATTTGTACCCCAGCATCAAGGAGGCCGTGATAGAGAAGGGTGGCCTGGCTGTACTGGGAGTCATGTACGAGGTAGGTTGGTCATCCAATGTAAACCACCCAGCTTTCTTAAAACTTTCTACACAATCATAAAAAAAAAATGATTCCTCGCTAACTTGTGAAACTGTCTTAAGATTTCAGAAGAGGACAACCCAGCATTGGAATACATTATCCGAGGACTGAAACATATCAAACTGCCAGGTATGCATCTGTTTACAATGCCAGATTTTTTCTCTCAACTCCCAGTTGCCAAAAAGTTAATCTCCCACCAAATTTCTAGCCCCTGACCACCATAAAAACTGATGAATTTCTGCTCAATCCAGTCAGCTCCAACCGCATCAAGCTGCCCGCCCTCTCACTGAGGAGCCTGCTACCCCAAGACATCACTCGCTACTACAGGTACAACGGATCCCTGACCACGCCCTCCTGCTTTGAGAGCGTCATTTGGACAGTCTTTGAGCAGAAACAGACCATCTCAGAGAACCAGGTTAGTAGATTGCAACTTAGGCAACAATACAAATCTCTCACATTTGACGCTCAACAAATAATCCAGTAAAATATTAAAGCACACCCAATGCTGTATTCAACCAAAATAAACTAAAACATCTCACCACATCCCACTGTAAGCCCCGCATGACCCCATACAACTCCCTCACCACATCCCACTGTAAGCCCCGCATGACCCCATACGAATCCCTCCCCAGCTGCAAGAGTTTCGAACCCTGCTTCAAGCCAAGCACAAGCCAGGCAAACACAAACGTTCTCTGCCCAGAGCCCAGGACATGATGAGACATGAGGTGGATGAGATCTTTGAGGAGATTGGCATCACGGTAGGGTTAACAAACTTGACCACTATCTTTTGTGAGAGTCCAGAGATGAGCTTTAGAACAATTGTATAACATCAATCACAAGACGTGTGTACATCGAGTGAACTTTTGTAATTTTCTTCCAGGGCAAGAAACAGGAGGAATCTGCCTTAAAAGCAGCCTTTTTGTTACAGCGTCAGGAAGAGATGCTGGCCGACATGTCACATGACCCTGAGATCAACTCCCACAGCAGGTACAGAGTTCAGATTTTCCTGGTTTTACTCAAGTCTTTCTTGAAAATACTTAAAACTTTGGATTTGCAACAACCATGGTAAGAGAACTCCAGAAAAATATAAAATTAAACATTTTGTGCTTAATTTCAGTGAATCTTCCAAAGGCAAAGGCAGCATGAAATCAGACAGCAAAGAATACATGGCCACACCATCACATGATGTAAGTAGAAAACTATATGCACTTTACATTTTGGTGCTCAGTGAATGAGACAATTTCTGTCCAATAGTTGTAAGATTTACATGTGGTTACACAACTCGAGCAATGACGACTTATAAAATGTCCGTTAATTTCAGACTGCAGCAGTAGAGGACAGTCACGAGGAACTTGTCAACAACTACCGGCCAATACAGCCCCTCAACGACCGCATTGTGTACAGAAGTTTCAAGATTCGCTCTGCACCTCGGCCAGAAGTCTCGCCCCACTATGAGACTCCATCAGCTGACCGCAGTCATAACGCTGGCACCCAGCTGACTGTACCAGTCCTTCTCCTCATGGCCGCGTGTCTGTCGTGGCTACTGGTTTGATGGCCACAGAAATCCTCTTCACTACTGGCCATCATGTCATTGCATAAACTTTCAATCATGCATTTAATTTCATCCGAGCAAGCTTTAAAAGTGACACTTAACAGTGTATACTTTCAATTTGTTCAACTGTAAAAATGTTAGTTTGTATAAATCTCCACAAGAATGTGTGCCTGGTAAATGTGATGAAAGTTTGTGTTTGGGCATAATTTATTGACAAGTTTCTAAATGCGATGTGAACGTGGAGCCAAGTTCCTTAATCGAATGTTAGTGATTTTCATGGTTGCTTCCCCTACCATAGTAACCAACCCCGAGTGTCTGAATTATTGCTGCTAGCCATTATGAAAGGCGGCGCATAGCCATACGAAACATGTGTTATCAATCAATTAGTACCAAAGATTTGTATCAATGTGTTTATTTAGTGCATCACTTGGCAGGGATAGTGTCTATAGGATCCTGTGTTGGACTTCACACCGCAGGACTAGTTTTAATTGCATAATGTCATCAAGTTCGTATTATTTATGATTTTTGTAATAAAGTTCAACAAGATGAGCTGAGTTGTCGAATTTTCACTGTTTGACCTGTCAGCCAGTGACTGGCTAATGGCCAATACTTAACAGATCGATGATTGATTAGCTAGTTGATCAATTTGATTTGCCGGCCGTTAGCTGGCCTTAGATTTTCACAACCGGCTGGAGCCAGCCTGTAGTTAAGACAAGAGGATTTTAAATGGCCAACCTTTAGGCCATCAATCAAGTTGGCCAGACAAGTTTTTTGCTAGCGCCATGGTTAGGTTAGCTCCGCTGTAATCAAGCAGAACCTTCCTCCATATACATCAAACTCGCTGATTCAGCACATTTGTTTTCAGCAAGAGTTAACTCACCCTTGTCTACAATACATGAGATCTAGACACGAGTGTTTTAGAACTTGGAAAAAACGTGAACACATTCAATGGGGCACACATGTTCTGAGACTGCAGTCACCCTACTACACCAGTCATGTGACCACATAAGCAGGTCTATATACGTACACTACAACATGCTATTGACTAGCATCCACCGCCGCTGTGTTGACTAGCGCTACTGGCAGCAAACAAAGCGGAGCTAACTCTGTCTGACAGCGTGACGTCATATCTGATACAGGCGTGAGATGGAGAGAACAGATAAAAAACAAATTCATTTTCAAATACGAATCCATCTCTACAATGAGGGGGGGGGGGGGGAGAGGGATGAGAATCTAGACATGGCTTGATGGATGCTATATACATCGGCACGTGCTATTCGTTACTTAATTATTGCATCGTTAGTATAGCAAGCTACCTACAGATAGTCATTACAGCTGTTGATATAGTCATTACAGCTGTTGATTTGCTGACATCCTTTGTTTAAAGATACCATATGATGCCTTAATGAACTACAGGCGAAAGATAACAACTCTATGCCCGTCCCATGTTTAGATGATTCTGTATTATATGCAGCATGTTTTCCTTAGATTTCTCTATCCAATCAAGCTTATAGTTGAACGAATTAGATAGGATTTTTATTCTTTTCCTTTAATTAAAATTATCGCCATGTTAATTACATTTTTGAATTGTGAAAAGGGCAGTGGATGTGCACAGAAATTCAAGGGGAGATCACTGACCGCGTACATGACGTCATACATTCTGCCTTTCATGTCGTTTCTGCCATAATAACATGCATCTGTCTTACTAATGTCTGACATTTGAATGAGGATTTAATCCTAACCTTTTCCAAAATCAAGAAAGAAAATAATAGATAATTTAAAATGAAAGGTCATATTTAATAGCCACAGAATCTAACATGGGGATGTTATAACCAGAATAAAATCAGGGGTGTTGGCTTTGCTTCTGGGGGAAATTGAGACAAGCATGGAATCTGCTTTTGACATGGTGCCCCATCTCTAGAGCCTGTTGAATCTGCCTGTGACATAGTGCCCCATCTCTAGAGCCGGTTGAATCTGCCTGTGACATAGTGCCCCATCTCTAGAGCCGGCTAAATGTGACATGGTGCCCCATCTCTAGAGCCGGTTGAATCTGCCTGTGACATGATGCCCCATCTCTAGAGCCGGCTAAATGTGACATGGTGCCCCATCTCTAGAGCCGGCTGAATCTACCTGTGACATGGTGCCCCATCTCAAGAGCCGGTTGAATGTGACATGGTGCCCTATCTCTAGAGCCGGCTGTATCTGCCTGTGACATAGTGCCCCATCTCTAGAGCCGGTTGAATGTGACATGATGCCCCATATCTAGAGCCGGTTGAATGTGCAATGGTGCCCCATCTCAAGAGCCGGTTGAATCTGCCTGTAACATGATGCCCCATCTCTAGAGCCGGTTGAATGTGCAATGGTGCCCCATCTCAAGAGCCAGTTGAATCTGCCTGTAACATGGTGCCCCATCTCTATAGCTGGTTGAATCTGCCTGTAACATGATGCCCCATCTCTAGAGCCGGTTGAATGTGACATGGTGCCTCATCTCAAGAGCCAGTTGAATCTGCCTGTAACATGGTGCCCCATCTCTATAGCCGGTTGAATCTGCCTGTAACATGGTGCCCCATCTCTAGAGCCGGTTGAATCTGCCTGTAACATGGTGCCCCATATCTATAGCCGGTTGAATCTGCCTGTAACATGGTGCCCCATCTCTAGAGCCGGTTGAATCTGCCTGTAACATGGTGCCCCATATCTATAGCCGGTTGAATCTGCCTGTAACATGGTGCCCTATCTCTAGAGCCGGCTAAATGTGACATGGTGCCCCATCTCTAGAGCCGGCTGAATCTGCCCTTTATCCACAATCAGATATATATCAATAATTGACCGGATGTCATTTTCTCTCTGAAACTGGCGCAGACAAAAAACACAACCAATCAATCCAACGTAAAGGATGAACAAGCTGACAGATAATCCAGCTTAATCCGCCTCCATGCCACAACACAGGTAGACTAGTCTACATCCATGCCACAACATAGGTAGACTAGCCTACATCCATGCCACAACATAGGTAGACTAGCCTACATCCATGCCACAACATAGGTAGACTAGCCTACATCCATGCCACAACATAGGTAGACTAGTCTACATCCATGCCACAACATAGGTAGACTAGCCTACATCCATGCCACAACATAGGTAGACTAGCCTACATCCATGCCACAACATAGGTAGACTAGCCTACATCCATGCCACAACATAGGTAGACTAGTCTACATCCATGCCACAACATAGGTAGACTAGCCTACATCCATGCCACAACATAGGTAGACTAGCCTACATCCATGCCACAACATAGGTAGACTAGTCTACATCCACGCCACAACATAGGTAGACTAGTCTACATCCATGCCACAACACAGGTAGACTAGCCTACATCCATGCCACAACATAGGTAGACTAGTCTACATCCATGCCACAACATAGGTAGACTAGTCTACATCCATGCCACAACATAGGTAGACTAGCCTACATCCATGCCACAACATGGGTAGACTAGCCTACATCCATGCCACAACATAGGTAGACTAGTCTACATCCACGCCACAACATAGGTAGACTAGTCTACATCCATGCCACAACACAGGTAGACTAGCCTACATCCATGCCACAACATAGGTAGACTAGTCTACATCCACGCTACAACATAGGTAGACTAGTCTACATCCACGCTACAACATAGGTAGACTAGTCTACATCCATGCCACAACATAGGTAGACTAGTCTACATCCACGCTACAACATAGGTAGACTAGTCTACATCCATGCCACAACATAGGTAGACTAGTCTACATCCATGCCACAACATAGGTAGACTAGTCTACATCCACGCTACAACATAGGTAGACTAGTCTACATCCATGCCACAACATAGGTAGACTAGTCTACATCCATGCCACAACATAGGTAGACTAGTCTACATCCACGCTACAACATGGGTAGACTAGTCTACATCCATGCCACAACATAGGTAGACTAGTCTACATCCGACTTTCTGTTTGCTGTAGTGTCAGGTAAGTTTTCTCCAGATGACCTTCAGATAGTTACCTTGTCATGTACAGATGAAGGCTACTCACTCAACCACGCTGGCAGCTAGTTGGCTTTGTTGCCGAACAACATGCTGGGGCGGGGGGGAGGGGTGCGTACGTGAGCTAGCATTGTTAGACAAACAAAAGAATTTAGGTGAGTGTGTGTTAAACGTGGCGCTAATGTTTGCGATACATTATTTTTTTACCTTTGTGAAAAGAAACAAAAACATTTAAACGATATAACAGAAAGCATACTGTAAAATGGTGCTAAAATTCCCAACATTTTTAGACAATCGCTGGGTGTTTGTCGTCGTCTCCACCCCCCCCCCCCCCCCCCCCCCAACCTCCTCTGCCACAAACGAAACTTTGGCCTTCTTTAACGTGAACCCCGAAGGACGGGGTGGGGGGAGTGGGTGGGGCTGTGTGATCTCAACGACGGACCCACCACTGACACCCATTCCCAAAACAGGGGTTCTAAAAATAACTTTGTAGTTGAAACTGTTCTCACAAAAGATGAACGGGAGGAATTATCGGAACAATCAATGGCGCCCATTAAGAGGAATATTTTAACAAGCCGGTCCCAACCTACATCATGGCTGGGATTTATTTATTTTTTTTAGGCGCGGCTAATAAAATAAAAATATCCGCCTGGTAAAGAGCATTAGAGCAAAAAATAGACACACAGACATAACCGTTTGTTGCAAAATTTAGACAGTTTCACACATTGTAAGTAAAATTAAGACAGTTTCACACATTGTAGGTAAAATTAAGACAGGTTCCCACATTGTAAGTAAAATTAAGACAGGTTCTCACATTGTAAGTAAAATTAAGACATGTTCCCACATTTTAAGTAAAATTAAGACAGGTTCCCACATTGTAAGTAAAATTAAGACAGGTTCCCACATTGTAAGTAAAATTAAGACAGGTTCCCACACTGTAAGTAAAATTAAGACAGGTTCCCACACTGTAAGTTAAATTAAGACAGGTTCCCACATTGTAATTAAAATTAAGACAGGTTCCCGCAATGTAAGTAAAATTATGACAGGTTCCCACATTGTAAGTAAAATCTACATTGTTTTAGTCTTATATAATTCTCGTTATGAGCAGTGATGGGGAGCAAATATTCTCTGTTGATGTATTGTATTATGGGCATGTTCATCTCTACTTACAAGTATGTCTGTTGGTGTTGCATTATGGGCATGTTCATCTTTACTTACAAGTTCTGTTATGTTGTATCACGGGCATGCTTATCTTTACTTACAATGTTGTATTATGGGCATGAATTTTTGTTGAATCTGGTGTCTACAATTTAACTTATTTTAACAACACTATATCTTGTATTCATCATCATTATTACCATCATCATCTTCCCTATTTGAATAGACTGATACATTAACAATGATGACATCATGTTTGAGCATACTAGACTATGTTTCTTATACATAAATTACATTTCAAACATAAAACAATACAATAACACGTAAGCCAGTAAAATCAATA